GTATAAGTTTCCAGTTATAATTAAGGCAAAAGTATATATAGTTTGGATGATAAGAGACAAGATAACTTACATAATGATATCATACTTAATAATAGTAGTAGGGAACAGGTTTCTAATCTAAATGGATGATAGTATCTTTCTATCGTGTTGTAAATAATACTTATTCAAAGATATACTGGTGGAGAAGATTTGTAGCTCAGGTGGATGATTTTTAGGGGTATAAAAAGTATATTCATAGCTTCTATCTAAATAATTTAAGCTACATAACATTAATTTCTGATTCATATAATATCAAATCAAAATGCTTCAGATCTGTTGGACGGACACTATTAGAAACAACGTACTGTAGGAGAGAACAAACCAGATCCCAGCGGAGGAAGACATCAGGAAGAATTGCTGGAAGTGGGTAGGACACACATTGAGGAAAGCACGCAACTGCGTCACAAGACAAGCCCTCACATGGAATCCTCAAGGCCAAAGGAAAAGAGGAAGATCAAAGAACACATTACGCCGGGAAATGGAGATGGACATGAGAAAAATGAACAAGAATTGGATGGAATTAGAAAAGAAGGCCGAAGACAGAGTGGGTTGGAGAATGCTGTTCGGCGGCCTATGCTCCATTGGGAGTAACAGGCGTAAGTAAGTAAGTAAGTCATATTGTTAAGAAATCGATAGAATTCAATTAAAAAACAAAACATTATTTTGTAACCAGTCACGGATAATAGTATAGACATTCAGATAGGTCAGTTGTGAATATATATTATCATAACATTGGATGTTATGAAATTGAACTCCAAGAGTGTCATTGGTAACGCGCCTTGGCGACAACTGCCAACTAGCATGAAATCTATATCTATTGTTTTCCATTAAATTCTTCCAACTAAACAAGAAATTTGTTTATATGTGCATGGATCTACTTGAAGAACTTCATAAACAACGAGCTTGTTTTGTTATAACTTTTCCTTTCACCTGTAATCTTTCTCTCCCTCTCTCTCTCTCTCTCTCTATATATATATATATATATATATATATATATATATATCCAGGCTAATTTCACTCTTTACTCTTCATTAATTGCTCTAAATATGTAACGAATCTCCTGATAGGTTTATAAATAATACAATTTTATACATTGACCAAAATATTATTCCATCTGTCAATATAATCTCAATTATTATCGTACTAAAATTACAAACTGAAAATCATTGTTCTTTTTTTTCCTCATTTGTTATATAATGAAACCAAAATCTCACTATTTGTTATCAATGATGGATAGTGGATAGCAGTGGAATCTAGGACGCGCGTTTCGTCCTGTTTGGGACTCATCAGCTGGATGTACCTACATCTCAGAGTTGATGTTCACTCTGGGACTCGAACCCAGTACCATTCGCTTCAAACGCCATCGCGTTATCTACTCAGCTACTGAGTCCTGATAGCCACTTGCTTGTGCAATGGGATGAATTTAAATTCACTTGTTATTGTTTGGCTTGTATCTTCCCATTGAGTTCCCATTGGATTCGAGTCCCAGAGTGAACACCAACTCTCTGAGATGCAGGTACATCCAGATGACTAGTCTCAAATAGGACGAAACGCGCGTCCTGGATTCCACTGCTAGCCACTATCCATCATTGCTTACAAAAAGCTTGTGAATTAAGGCAATATGGAGACATATTCACAGTATGCACATATGCCAATAACAGACTGATCAACTGCAGTCTTAAACCTCAATGGGAAGATACAAGCCAAACAATACCAAGTGAATTCAAAATCTCACTATTTGTACAGATTATAACTAAACAGTCTATAAATAAAAAAGGTTGTTTTTCTTTTTTCTTAATGGACAATAGTTAACTAAACAATTTTTTATATTGTTAAAATACTTTATACGATTGTGTAGATTGTGTTATCAATCGCTTAAAACCATTCAATTAGTATAGTTGATTGGTTACTACTTAAATGAACCAAATTATTGATTCAAAGTTTATTAACCATTGTATATTGAACATCATAAGAAATTGTCAATAAAATAATTAGTTTTACATGAGATAGTGAACTAGATTTATAGTTCAGATGGATGATTTGGATGAAGTTTTATTCTCTGAGCTGGATGGTTTACATCGTTCTTTGAAATGAGTTCGAATATTTCACTTCTACCTGAAGTTTTAAAAAATGATGAAAGCTTCATGATCAAATCATCTAACCATAGATAACAAAACTCCATTAAAAATTTACATGAAAATATAAATAATAATACAGCTACAACCCACAAAATATTTAACATGGAAAATATGATTTAGATTGAAGATGACTGTATAAAATGGAGTTTTTTTTATATGACTTATTAACCAATGAAAAGTAGTTTCAAGTTTATTGATTGAAGTGTAAACATTTATCGATTATCTATGATAATTTATTTTTTATCATTTCATAGTACATGTATCAAATCTTGAAGTGTCAAGGTCAATTATATCCGTTGTGTTTCCTTTCACAATTTCTTTAGGCGATTATTGTAATATATAACTATGACACCTTTCGGCCTAGTTAAAAAAATCTATTCGGTTAATGAAATTAATTTATTTAGTTTTGTATCGAAACTGGATACCAGATACCTTTTTTCTACCAATATTACTATTACTATATGAAGTTTATCATTGAATCAACTTTCTTATATGGTTACTTACTTACTTACGCATGTTACTCCTAATGGAGCGTAGGCCGCCGAACAGCATTCACCAACCCACTCTGTCCTCGGCCTTCCTTTCTAATTCCATCCAATTCTTGTTCATTTTTCTCATGTCCATCTCCATTTCCCGGCGTAATGTGTTCTTTGATCTTCCTCTTTTCCTTTGGCCTTGAGGATTCTATGTGAGGGCCTGTCTTGTGACGCAGTTGGTTTCTTATAGGGTAACAAGAGATTAAACAATAAAGAATCTCAGTGTAAAATTAAACAGTTGTTTCAAATTTTACCTTTCTAAATCATCATTCAACTGATATCGATCCATGACAAATTGTAACGTCAAACATAAAATCTAACTTGAACAGAGTTCCATTTCGATATATAATAAGTAAATATTCAATCGAACTAATGCAGTAAGTGAACCTGAACCTGTCCTGAAAACTAACTTTATTGGGCACAGAGTAAACAGTGATGATTCCATATACTTAAATACTTATCCAGCGTATATATATGACTAGCAAAGTGTTAACTGACGGAAGTGCAAGTGACCTATGAAAAAGATTTTCTTCAATAACCTATGATATGTAACTATCGTTCAAGAAAGAGTAATCACGTAACATTCATCTTATATTAGTGTAACATTCATTCAGTATGACTTTCTTCTATACTAAGTTATCATGTTTTTCACTCAATATAACATGTAGAAACCATTCCGAAGTGATTTTGCGTAAAATTTTTATTTGCTGTAATATTTGATATTCCTTGACCAATCATCAAACGTCAGTTAAATCAATTTTTATACACATGTATATCTTGATTAAAAGAGAATCATTTTTTCTGGCAAGTGAATAAAATTCGATTCTTTGAGATTATGAACCAATCAATGTTAGACCATCATTGAAAACCTGGAAGCACTGAACGGCCGTTTTGTCTTAGTATGGAACTAATCAGTAGTGTGGCATCATGGATCAGTTATGTCATTAGTTTTGTTGTCTAATTTTGCTTCGTAGAGAGTATCAGTTTTTCTATGGTTATAACAAACTATTATGGGATTAGGTTAACTTCATGGTTCTATTTGACATGTGTAAATCTGAAATTTTTTCAGATGCTATTTTGTAAGAGTATAAACAGATATTCAATGATTCAAAGAAATGAATCAGAAAATCAAGGTTTATTTCTTGAAAGTATAACAAATACGCCATCTTATTTTATGACTTGTCATCAGCTAAAAGCATATTGTATTGGAAATAAAAGATTGACATCAATTAAGTAGTGATGTAGTTGTAATAAATCTTTAAAAGAACATGAAATGTATATGTTTATAAGTACAAGCTATATTGTAAAATTTAATTGTAACTAATTTATATTCAATAGTTAAACTTCACCGAAGAATCGGTCATTCCACAACTAATATTTCCAAATTAGAATATATATAACATGGAATCTTGAAGGGAAACGGGAAAGTGAAAGAATATGAAACATGTTGAGTCGAGAATCGCAAGTAGACATCAAGAGAACGAGTAGCAACTTTAAAGGACTAGAAAGGATTGTCGAGGACAGAGTTAAATGGAGAATACTGTTGAGTGGCCTATGCTCTCCTCATGGGGTAACAGGAGTAAGCAGATATATATAGTGTTCTTTTTTCCCAATGTTTGTTCATTGTTAATCAGAAATGTGTTAATCTTTCAAATTTCAGTACACTTAATCTGTTTATACTTAACAGGGAATCTTCTAACCGTGTGACAAATTTTTTGTATTCTTTTCAATATGAATAAGGGAATCAAATGTAATAAGTCTAATCAAAGTAAATGATTAGTAATCCCTAAATTTCATAATTTTCAAGAGCAATTTTCGAACAGCAAGAAGTGTAAATCCAATTGACTGATACACATCCGTAAACAACTGTTTCGTGCTATGAAAAGACACGATTAGTTGATTGTTTCCTGAAACATTAAATCGTCTATTTCAATATTTCAAATGACGTAACCATGAAGACTGTTTTTCTGCTTGAATCAAACTGTTCAACAGTTACTTCATTGGCTGATATTAAAAATGAGTACTTTGTTGGCCTCCAGTTTTCTCCAAGGTTTATTTTTAATTCGGACAAATATTTCTTCCAAAAGTAGAGAACCTATTCCATCACATACATATATGTCCATTGCTAATGAGTTCCAGTGACATACAAAACCTACTTTCAGGGATTCACCTCCTACAATCTATCAGCAATATAAACTAAACACATCAATTACATGGAGTGAAGCAAATCTCATATTACAACCCAAAAGTAACGAGTTTATAATCCAATGAAATTATATGTAGATAGTTAAACGCAAAATTCTATATTACCATCATCATGATCATGATCATCATCATGATCATGATCATCATCATCATCATCATCATCATCATCATCATCATCATCATCATCATCATCATCATCATCATCATCATCATCATCATCATCATCATCATCATCATCATCATCATCATCATCATCATCATCATCATCATCATCATCATCATCATCATCATCATCATCATCATCATCATCATCATCATCATCATCATCATCATCATCATCATCATCATCATCATCATCATCATCATCATCATCATCATCATCATCATCATCATCATCATCATCATCATCATCATCATCATCATCATCATCATCATCATCATCATCATCATCATCATCATCATCATCATCATCATCATCATCATCATCATCATCATCATCATCATCATCATCATCATCATCATCATCATCATCATCATCATCATCATCATCATCATCATCATCATCATCATCATCATCATCATCATCATCATCATCATCATCATCATCATCATCATCATCATCATCATCATCATCATCATCATCATCATCATCATCATCATCATCATCATCATCATCATCATCATCATCATCATCATCATCATCATCATCATCATCATCATCATCATCATCATCATCATCATCATCATCATCATCATCATCATCATCATCATCATCATCATCATCATCATCATCATCATCATCATCATCATCATCATCATCATCATCATCATCATCATCATCATCATCATCATCATCATCATCATCATCATCATCATCATCATCATCATCATCATCATCATCATCATCATCATCATCATCATCATCATCATCATCATCATCATCATCATCATCATCATCATCATCATCATCATCATCATCATCATCATCATCATCATCATCATCATCATCATCATCATCATCATCATCATCATCATCAATCTCGATAGTTATTACTGTAACCAACTCTCGACTTCAAGCTGTTTTCGTAATCGTTTACTGCTTGCCCTCGGTAATCTACATCACTAATCGAACTAACAAACGATAATAATCGTAAACTGGACAATGAGTAAACATCTGAAAAGAAAATCAAGTAAACAGTTTAATCTCTTTTTTATTTTCGAGAAGATTAAAAATATTAATAAAAAATTGAATAAATCGGTGAAACAATTAAATTGAAAACATAATCATCTTCAATATTAACAGTTATGGACATTCATTGATAATCAGTTTGTCATTTATTCATTTGTTTGTTTGTTTTCTCTGCCGACAAAAGGTTGTTTTTATTCTAAATAAAGAAGTAGAGGAGAACATACGATCAGATCACTTCCCTGGTTTTTATCATTATGATTGTTATTAATATTTTAATTCGATGTTGTTTTAACAATTAAGTCTAGAACAAACTTTTAAAACCTTCCTACCCAGATAATGAAACCAGTGCATCAAAAAAACAATTTAAATAGTAGCTGGTAGTGGACCTAGGTCTTCTATGTCATACAAACGAACAAATGCATGTGAAGATACCCAGTGTAGTAGCAGTAACCAAGGACCTTATTCTTACAGTTGAAGATTATATTCAACTCAAATCAAGTGTTTGCGAGTCAACAAGTTCAGAATCCTCAATACGAACGTCAAGATACTTAGTTCTATTGTATAGGGATGAAACTTCAAGAACTAACACAACGATCATCAAAATGGTACAAGTATTTATATGCAACCTACTCGATGTCAGTCGACAGGATATCATCAGCAACAGTCTACTGTGTGAGAGAACAAATGAGATTTCATCTGATTATAGAATTAGGAAAACACGTTGGAGGTTAATAGGACATATATCACGGCAATCATCAAACTGCATCATGAGGCAGGTTCTAATTTAGAATCGTGAAAGGAAACAGAAAAGTGCAAGATCAAAGAACACACTATTTCGGGAATTGGAAGCAGGGATCAAGAGAATGAGTAGTAACTGGAAAGAACTGGAAAGGATTGTCCGGGATAGGTTTGAATGGAGAGAGCTGTTAGGCGGTCTATGCTCCTCAACGAGGGTTAACAGGCGTAAGTAAGTAAGTAAGGAGTAGTGAAATCCAGGACGTGTGTATCATCCTATCCAAAATATATTGCTTATATGTACGTGCATCATATTGTTAATGTTTACGCTTTGATTAAGTACCAATACCTTATGAATATAAACATTCATACTGTCATACAAATGCATTCAATTAATGAGGCTCAAATAGAAAAAAATACGTATTCTAGACATTGCTACAGCCTGTTGTCCAACTTCAATTAAATACTGTGATTACATGACAATGTTGACATGACCAACTAAAAAAGTATAAATACCGATTGTAGTCAACAGGAAACCCTGGATCTAGATTTCGTTCTACTTGTACCTGTAATCTTGAAGGAACCGATGTTCTCCAACGGATTCAATTCCATGTCACCCAACTTCACAGTCAGACACGTTACCACTAAGCTACCAATTATAATCTTCAATATCAATAATAGGAAGATGGAAATCTTTTGAAGTAAAACAATTATATTCAAAGATTACAATTTCAAATCATATGAATAGTGATAATAATGAAAACAGCAACAACAACAAAACAAATTAAAAGATAGTTTTCATTATTCAATAAATAACAATAAATCTATTAAAATAACCTACCATCTATTCAGTAATTATCCAACTTAAATCAAGTGAATAGGTAATTGAAATAGAAAATGATCATAAAACTCGACACTTTCATTTTACCATTCTTTAATCTCTTCATTTACCTAAGTAATAAACAAAAGTGACCATAATAAATATGAGATTGGATAAATGTTAGTTTTATTATTACTGTTACTATTACTGTTATTATTATTATTATTACTAAGGATCGTTTTCCTTACATCATATTGGATTGTATAATCTTAGGCAATTGTCCAATGTTACCATCATCAAGGTCATTTTCTGAATTATACATCATTCTTGTTTACTTACTTATATAAAATATGTTTATGTAAACTATATTCTGTAAGTTGAAATGAGAGATTTATACACAAAGTCAAAAAAATAATAATAATGACTTTTATTTATTTCAGTTGAATAGATCATTTTTATTTAAGTAGTAAATAAATAAACCGGTAAATAATCGTTCATAAAAATAATAATTATTATTATAAACAAAGATTGAATAATGACTAGCAGTGGAATACAGAATGCGCGTTTCATCCTATTTAGGACTTGTCAGCCAGATATATCTGTATCCTGAAAGTTGATATTTACTTTGGAACTCGAACCCAGTACCGTTTGCTTGAAACGTTATTGTGTTACCAAGTGAATAATGATTATTATTATTATTATTATTATTATTATTATTATTATTATTATTATGAAATTATTCACTGTAATCATTTAAAAAGAATCAGTTTCTGATTGTGACTGTGATCAAACCATAAAACTATTGATTCATTGATTAATCCAGTTTATAGAAACAACAAATGATAATATGGAAATAAATTATTTTTAAAAAAAAGATAGAATAAATTATCTTAAAATTAAGGTATAGAGAAATGACTAGCTATTTATTCGAATTATTAATATCTTCTATTCCTTTTGACATAGTTACTTGTTGAAATCAACAACAACAACAGACACACACTAATCATTGTGCCTTGAACCAATTTTATTGTATTCTATAATTATCAGAATGGGTTTTGTGGAGAGTTTTAGAAATTTCCCATTCTGATAATAATCAACTGCTCACTAGTGACTGACTTCAAGAGATACTCCTGGAGTTCTAGTGAGAAGCCGTTACCAGTGGAGTTCAACTAGGTCTGTCGTGAGATATCAGCTCACTGAAGACAGTGGTGTATAGTAGCCCAACTTCGTGGATTAGTTGAAGTTAGACATTAACACAGTTGGATGCCACCTCAGTGGTCTAGTGGTTAAGTGCTCGCGCGCGAAGCCAGTAGGTCCTGGGTTCGAGCCTCGCGTGGTGAGGGATCGTGGATGCGCACTGCTGAGGAGTCCCATACTAGAACAAAACGGCCAGCTGTCCAGTGCTTGCAGGATTTCCATGGTGATCTAGCTTCAGTCGACTCTATTCTATAATTCTACAATTGTGAATTCGTTTTCTGATTAGCGTTTTTTTAGCAAGGTTATTTTCTAGGGGATGGGGTTGACGACCTCACTCCCAACCCTTCTTTTTTTACCCAGGCTTGGGACCGACAGTAATCCTAGAAGAGCTACAGGTGAAGTTTGAAATTCATATGCTGTGATTTAAAAATAAAGATGTATTTGCCTTAAATATAGTCATTATTTCTTTGATCGCATAACTAAGAAATATAATGAGAATAAATAGGGAGAAGAATATTCTGTTAGACTATGATTTATGAATGATTTATGAACGATAGTAAAGTTGTCTTGAAAACGTTTTATCACTTACTAGGTTTATAATAGGGTTTTAAAATAATGTGAGAAATCAGAATTAGAAGTTTGAGTTTGAAAGCTATGGCTAGGAATCAACATGATTAAACCATAAAATAATATCAACTGTAACCTCAGAATACTATCTAGTCATATGGATGAATTAATTTCTCGGTAGGACTTAAAAATCACCATCTAAAATCTGAATGATTCTCTAATAAATTAATGTACCTATTGCTAAAAAATAGAAATTTGATTTGTCTTATATTCAACGTTAATGTTATTTGTTTTTACAATCTTCGGTTTCGTTTTCTTGTTCTCGATTCAAATAAGATTAATATTACAGTGTTATCTATCTCTTGGCATTTCGAAATCGCATAAACCTAATAGACCGTCCTTAAATCAACGAAGTATAAGACCGAACAAAAGTATCTGGTGACTACAGCTGTGCAAAAGAGCGCCTCAGCAACCGGTGGCGTGAAGAAGCCTCTCGGATGCAGGTCTAGAACTGGTGCTATTCGACAGACTTGTCATTACCGAAAGAGGACTGAACTTTTGATCTGAAAACTTTCTTTTCAGCGTTTGGTTCGAGAAATCGCTGAATATTACAAGACCGATCTTCAACTGCAACGCAGTCGTGTTTTTTCTTCATGCCCTCTTAGTAGTATATTTCTGTCTGCTATTATATTTTAACTTATTTAATCACAAAACCTGAGTGAAGGCTATAATAACCATTGATGTGCTCGAACAGGATTTGTTAATTTGACTCATTTCGAGTAAATTGAATATTATTTCTTTTGATTGAAGGGAACACTTTCTACTTTTGATGAGTAATTAGTTTCATTGTCTGTTTGTTACATTATATATCTCATTGCACAAGTTCTTAGAAATGTTGTTTAGGCTTGTTACTATTCTTGAGGTATTTTACAGATGTATTTATATCACCAAATAATTGTGTATATTCTGTTCTACTAATGCGCATAAATAAATAGAAGAAGAGTAAACAATTGGTTAGAATTCATGCTATCATTCTATCTGAAACCTATATACCTATAATTTTCACCTCTATAGATACTATTCATTACAAATTGAGGTTGATTAAAAAACACCAGTAAACTTAAAAGTATCGAATAGTCATTTCAAATAAGAATAAGCCTTTTAGCTATTCAACTAGAGATACGTCAGTTTGTTTTGATAATATAAGAAATAAGCTCATAAAAATGAATTAACCTAAAGCTTTGAATAGACGTTTATTCTGTTGTACAATAATAATGCTAAAAGCTTTACAATTAAATCATCCAGTTCAGAGGGTAAACCACTATCAAATCCATTTAAATGAACGATGGATCTCTTAAATAATCATATAGGTCACTTTGTCCATTTACTTTCTGTAATGTCTAATCAAAATATATAGTATGATACTGAAATACAAGCAATAGAATGATTATTCTGGCTGTCATATATAGGTCAGCTCATTCCTTGAGCACTTTCACTTCATACATTACACTGTTACAATAAACATTGTGAAGTCTAATGAATTCAATGCACTTCATATGGCCAAAAATACTACGAATATACACTGACCTTATAAATAAGACAGTTTGCCACTACATTTTTGTAAAAAGATGCTTAGGATAATAGGCCAACAGTTTGTAAGTCCAATTTCCAATATTCGTTTTGTTAAATATTGTGTTTTGAATGAAGTATTACTATTCAAACCAATGTATTGTGACGAGTTGAAAACTTCACGCCATTTACTTCTAGTTTTGATTTCCGAATTCCCTTAATCTCAGGCTTAGTCTTACGGTTCTCTATTACTTCCCGTGTTAAATATAAGTGCATTCTGTGCTCTTGCTGGGTCATCGGCTTACTTTTTCCTTCTTTTTTTTCTTTTCCAGCTCTCCTCACTCACGTTTTTCCTCCATTAGCAAAGTACCTTCTTGTTAGACGCAAACCGCTAAAGTATATCATTCTCTAATTTAGTTATCTTATGATGGTAAGGTTTTAAACAATTATATCATATATTATAACCATACCAACAACACTGAAATTAAATCACTAATCAGATCAATTTGTTCAATCTTATGATCTATAATCTTTAGTTTTGCAGGTACCAATTATAAGAAAAAGATATTATATCATTAAGAAAATTATGGGGATTAAATTATAAAGAGTTGTTTGTCACTGGTCGATTTAAACTACGAAATGAATGAAAAACAGAGCATTAAACAGCTGTTTAGTCTTAGTCTAAAATTTCTCAATAATACGCCAAAACAACTAATCATTAATTAATCGTAAAACATGCAGCGGAACGATAATGATCACAGTGTTACTTGGTGATAATTGCGTTATACATCTCAGACTGAATGAAGTTAAAAATACAATCCACTGAATTTCAATTCAGTGATCTAAATATAACCTAATCACCGACAGACCTAAACGTCTAAAGTTCGAACCCCACCGAGAATATAAGCATATAGTAATGAAAACACTCCGAAATAAAACGAAACAGTTTCCACTAATTTTCAAGGATTTTTTTCCCTGATATTGATGGGTGGTGAAAATGTCTTGTCACAACTATGATGCCCTGATGCTCTGATATTGCCAAGGTTGGGGAGATTATACTCTTCCTCTCTAAATGCTCTCACATGGCCACATATATACAACTTCTGTCAGAGAAGTCCTACTCACAGCCTTCTTGTGACATCACTGTTGTTCACGAAATAGAGAGGACGAAAAACGAATATAAGGTGCTTTAACCGGGTTGGTGGATACACAGAGTCAACCTAAGGGAATTGGAAAACCCCGATTCCAAACCAACGGTGCAAATGGGTACCAGGATCCTGAAGGAATAAATGGCATATGAACATATTCCTGACCACCAGCTACCGCTGGACTGCATCTTCTCACGTTGCTCCACTGGCTCATGGACGAGACCTTTAGGTTGAAGGCACCGGGTGTGACCCTCAAAAAAAGTCCCTGCTTCGGTTTGAATACCCGGACGGTATCATAAGCCCACATACAAATCAAGTGACTTGTGTGGTGCGTATGTATTCTATGCCCCTTTGTACCATTACTTATGTGTTAAAATAAATAAACAATACCATGTATAAAAAACTACACCGTATATTTACGTACCTGGCATCTATTCATATTGTCCAACTATAATCTCTATTTATGGAGCTCGTTTTACTTTTATTTCGCTACATGCTTTTATTATTATCAAGTCGACTTATAAGTTATTATATCCATTTTGTGTACATTTACTAAAAGACTGTGTGTTATAGTTACATTTTACAAGATTGAAATACTTACTATCATGATACAGAGTTTGTGTATTTATTGAATAGTGTCTTTCACTTACTAAGCAACTAACAAATCATTTATAGGGATAGTTAGTTAGATGAAGTGAATTCTCAATAAAAGTCTAAAAAATCCTACTGAACTGCCATTTCACTTTAGATTGGGACTGCTCAGCATGATGTCATGGCTCATGAGTTGTGGTTGCACACTGTTTATGAGTCCATACTAAAATGAAATATCGGTTCGGTGCTT